GTGGTGACTGCGGTCAAGTTTCAACATTGTTTGAACTTGATCAACATCGTTGAACATTGAAGATTAAGGTTGAAGACACAATCAAAAGTTGTTGAGAGAAAGTTGAAAATGGAGAATCTTGCCAAGGTGGAGATTTGTTAAATTTGACAAGATTCAAAATGTGAAGATTTGGTAGTTAGGAAGATAATTCTTCATTGGTACAAAAGTCAAGATAACATCTTTTGTAGGTGAAATTTAGGTGAACCATAAAATGGTTTCACAAGGTAAATCTTGACATTTTGACACATTGTGATGTCATGGATGACATCAATAGGAAGAATTCACTCCTATAAATAGGTAGTTCCTAATTCATTTGTGACACACCTCTCACTTGCCTTCTCATCTTCAAAGGCATTTGATCTTCTTTCTCTCTTGTAATATTTCACTTGTACTCTTTTGGAGTGAAATAAATATTGGTTGGTTGTGTCCGAGGAGTAGGCAAAAGAAAACAAAAGTTTGCCGAACCTCGTTAATTCCTGGTGTTCTTTTTATTGTTGTCTCATCTACTATTTATTAGCTACCTTTAGATATAGGAGTTGTGATTTCATTACTCTCTATATATTCGGCTTCCGCAACAGTTATGTCTATTGACGGACATTACATTTGGTCTGATGTGCTTTCGTGATCTGGTTTATGAGGAGTTGAAGGGTAAAGCTAGAGATGCAGTTATCGTGTTGATTGAACAAGAACGCGAAGGTGAGCAGATTGACAGAGGTTTATTGAAGAATGTGCTTGATATATTCGTTGGAATTGGAATGGGGTATATGGAGTATTACGAGAATGATTTTGAAGATGCAATGCTTAAACATACTGCAGCTTATTATTCTCGAAAAGCTTCAAGTTGGATTGTGGAAGATTCGTGTCCAGATTATATGTTGAAGGCAGAGGACTGCTTGAAAAAAGAAAAAGATAGAGTGTCTCATTATCTCCATGTTATTAGTGAGACGAAATTTTTAGAGAAAGTGCAAAACGAATTATTGGTTGTATATACGAATGAGTTACTTGAGAAGGAGCATTCTGGATGTCGAGTATTGCTTAGAGATGATAAGGTAGAGGATTTATCTCGAATGTATAGGCTATTCCACAGAATCAACAAGGGATTGGAACCTGTTTCAATTATGTTTAAGCAGCACGTCGTTGCTGAAGGCATGGTTTTGGTGCAACAGGTTGAAGATACGACAAATAGCAAGTCTGAAACTCCATTCTTTGTTAGAAAGTTGATTGAGCTTTACGATAAGTATATGGCTTATGTTACAAACTGTTTTGCTAATAACTCTCTGTTTCATAAGGCTCTCAAGGAGGCATTTGAGGTCTTCTGCAACAAGATTGTATCTGGTTGTTCAAGTGCAGAGCTTCTTGCTTCTTATTGTGATAATATTCTTAAGAAAGGCGGAAGTGAAAAACTCAGTGATGATGCTATTGAGGAGACGTTGGATAAGGTGGTCAAGCTTCTCGCATACATTAATGACAAAGACCTTTTCGCGGAGTTCTGCAGGAAGAAGCTTTCTCGTCGATTGCTCTTTGATAAAAGTGCGAATGATGAACACGAAAGGTTTATCTTAACAAAGCTAAAGCAACAGTGTGGTGGACAGTTTACATCAAAGATGGAGGGAATGCTGACAGACTTGACTTTGGCTAAGGAAAATCAGAACAATTTTCAAGAATATCTCACCAACAACCCGAGTACGAGTCCTGGAATTGATTTCTCTGTCACAGTTCTTACAAGTGGATTCTGGCCTAGTTATAAATCTTGTGATTTGAGTCTTCCTGTGGAAATGGCTAAGTGTGTACAAGTGTTCAACGAATTCTATCAGACAAAAACGAAACACAGGAAATTGACATGGATTTATTCATTGGGTACGTGTAACGTCAATGGGAAGTTTGATTCAAAAACCATTGAATTGATTCTGGGAACTTATCAGGCTGCTGTTCTGTTATTGTTTAATTCGTCAGACAGATTGAGTTACTCAGAAATCAAAAGTCAGTTAAATTTGGCTGACGACGACTTGATCAGATTGCTTCAATCCCTTTCATGTGCCAAGTATAAAATTCTGATTAAGGAACCTAGCAATACAATTGTTTCGTCATCTGATCATTTTGAATTCAACTCCAAGTTCACTGACAGGATGGGGCGGATTAGGGTCCCATTACCTCCTGTGGATGAAAGGAAAAAGGTGGTCGAGGATGTAGGCAAAGATAGACGCTATGCAATTGATGCTTGTATTGTGCGTATTATGAAGAGTCGGAAAGTTCTTCCTCATCAACAACTAGTAGCGGAGTGTGTTGAGTATTTGAGCTCAATGTTTAACGCCTGACTTAAAAGCAATCAAAAAACAAATGGAAGATCTCATCACTAGAGATTACTTGGAAAGAGACCAAGAGAACCCAAATTTGTTCAAGTATTTAGCCTAAATCAGTAATCTAGTTATTTAGGATTTGTTATTTTTGGTTTTATTTAATTATATCTAGTTAGAATTTGTTTGTCGTATTTCTATATATTGAATAAAAATTTTTGTCTTTAGTTTAATTTGTTTCTTACTATTATATGAATCCTGATTCTGCTCCTTTCTTCATACTGTTATCAACTTGTAATGAATTGTACATCTTATTGAGTTTCTCTAATTCAATCAAATAAATTCAAGTGCTTCTAAGCATAATCATGAAAATTACTTGTAGAATTTATTGATGGGTACATAATGAACATACATAATTTGACATAAATAGTTGTACAAACAACCTTATTTGATACCATATCACTCATTTCCACAACTATTCCAACACATACATTACCTGTTACATTCGCGATGATAATTGCTGAACAATTTAGTCTAAAGTCTAAAATGCAACAGAGTGGAAGTGCCATCCAGCCCTTTGTTATTGAAATAAGTTGTGAACTCCTTAATCGTCGTTTCCCTGTACTTTGGAGGATTCTGTTCTGATATCAGCTCCTTTATAGGTCCATACAGCCTATGTGTTGTCACACAATTCGTCATGAAGAAGCATGCCAACGATATTCTTGGACCAACTTTATTTGCCAGTACTCTATGATCAACGCTTTTGAACTTGTCATTCGTTATATGCTGAAAATGATCGAGTCAAAAATATCATAAGTTATAAGATAATTATGTTTCTGATACAGATATGCTAAATGTAACACTACTTGCCTGTAGAAGATCTCCTATATTGACCACGAGTGCTCCGGGAGTAGGGGGAACATCTACCCAATGGTTCTGATGTAGGACTTGGAGACCGCCTATGTTGTCTTGGAGAAGCACGGTGAGGAAGTCGTTGTCAGCATGCTTACTGGTGCCTAGAGTAAGTTCAGGTTGTGGACATGCTGGATAATATTGGCCTATAGCAAGAAGCCCCTCTGCACAACCCATATCCTTGAGGTGATTTGGTTCTAGGCCAATAGCCTCGGACACTAGTTCAAATAGAGTGTCACCTAATGTCATCACTTGGTTCGTGTACTCAAGGAGAATATCCCTATCACAAATGCACAATAAGCAAATTAAAATACAATACAATATTCAAACCTCTCTATAACGATGTTGTTTGTTTGACCATAATACCTGCAGACAGAAGGAAGTTGTTCGGGCTTTGGAGGTATAGGAGCTATAGTGGCACGAAAAGTGTCCCTCCAGTTGGTTACTGGTGCTCTAAACAGATCAAAATTGCTGTTAAATGTGAACTCTTTTGTCAAGTCTCGCGTATACCACTGCCTCTTCACCTCAGTATCTTGCTCAAAGAACCTGGTAACACCGTCTTTCATTGCATCCATAACATGACTAGGAATCCCATGATTGATCACTTGAAAGAAACCCCAACTCTCGGATGCATGGCCAACTTCTTGGACTATGTTCTTTCGTTTGATCGGATCTTCCATGATGCCATCAAGATCAATTATTGGAAACTTGATGAACTTGTTGTTGTTGTGACTTCTCGAATCTTCAACCTTTAATGGTTGTACAAACATTCTTGGTACTTTGATTATACCTGCATCGACTAGTCCCTTAACACCGGCTTTCGTCTTATCAAAGGCTTGTAGTTCAGCCATTCTTTCATACTTTGCTACATATGTGTTGAACTTGATCACTTCCATTTTTCTTATGCTTTTGTCTAAATCTGAGATTGTAAGTTAAATCTACCTTGTAAAAGTTAAAGATACACATATATACAAATTAAGAGTATATATATATATATATATCTTATTGGATTGTTTCCAAAATTAGATATTCACTAACTAACCAAATTATTACTAAAAATTGCTAATGTTTGAAGATTAGAACTGAGTTTAAAAATAATGCTTCTGCTAGTTGATAATACTCCATGTGATATAATAATAATTTCAGTCTGTAGTTTTGTCCTATCATGAAGCTTCAATGCAATTATGCAAATACCTGGACAGCTTGTTTTTTTATTTAATTAAGTTTAGGCCAATATAGAATGTTTAAAATATTCCCATACATAAAATTTTATGGTATTTATATTATGTGTACATTTACATTCATATCTCAAATAGAAATGACATAGATGAGCCAAATTTTTAATTGATAACATGTGAAAAAGTTAAAGTTGATTTTTTTAGAATATCATAGATTGTTTTAGTAAAGTTTCTAGAATAGTCTAGTGTAGTATCTAGGATAAATATCTTGTAGAAAATCATATATTTGTAGAAAATCATAAAATAGTTTAGATCTCGTTGTATCTAGAACCATCCCTATATAGCTAAGTATAAACACGGAATGATCTTGTACAACTAAGTCTTCCAAAACTCTTCCTTCTCCTTTCTAGCTTCCTCTGCTTTAGTTGAATCTTTCGATATTAGTTAATGATCTTGGGCAAGCAGAACATTTTTCAATTATACTTTTCTTCGACCATTCTGATCTACATGGCATAAATAAGTCTTTTCTCGTCAATTTTCGAACATGTATGTTGAGTTGTTAATGGAATCACGAAGATTTGTTATCTAATCTTGTTTACTAATTAGGCATTAGATCTCTAATTAACCTAATTATTATAATTAAATTGCTTGTTTTTGAAGATCAGTTCTAAGTTTGAGCAACTTTCACATATAACAAACACAAAATTCATATTTGTATGCTATAACAAAGTTTGCATAATTGCGCTCCATAACAAACATATATATGTATAATTCGCTATACATATACAAAAAAAAACAAGTTGTATAAATCTGTTTTGGTTATACATATACAAAAAGAATCAATTGTATAAAGTGAGCGAGCGAGATCTGGGAGAGGGGAGAGAGGGGAACGAAAATATATGTATATATACAATTTTTACGCATTTTATGCATTTGTGTTTTTGTATAAAGTGAGAGAAACGAGTGAGAGAGCGAGATCTGGGAGAGTGGCGAGCTAGATCTGGGAGAGGGGAGAGAGGGGAACGAAAATATATGTATATATACAATTTTCTTTCGCTTTATACAAACACAAACGCATTTTATACAATTTGCGTTTTTTGTATAAAGTGAGAGAGGCGAGTGAGAGAGTGAGATCTGGGAGAGTGGCGAGCGAGATCTGGGAGAGAGGGAAACGAAAATATATGTATATATACAATTTTCTCTCACTTTATACAAACACAAACGCACTTTATACACTTGCGTTTGTATAAAAAACAAGAGAGGTGAGGAAGAGAACGAGAGTGGCGAGTGAGATTCACCAGGAGAGAGGTGAAATAGCAACAATTTGCTATGAGGTACAATTAAATCAAACTATATTTATAGCATTTAATTTGAATTAATAGTTTGCTATTATATACAATTTTACCTTAAAAATAAAGCTTCTGCTAGTTGATACCGACATTTAGCCCATAATGTACATATTTTATGTTAAAGAGCCATGTGATATGAATGATACAATAATAATTTCACTTTGTATCTTTATCCTATTATGATATGAAGCTTCAATACAATCATGCTGATACTTAATTAGCTTGTTTTTATTTAACTGAGTTTAGGCCAATCTAGACCGTTAGTGTGACATTTTAATATTAATAAAAATATAGCATATATCACACTATATATCATGTTATGTCTATTTGTGGACTATATATTTGTGTCTCTTTACTCTCATCAATTGTGGAAGAAAGTGATCATTAGTTGTTACTTGTTAGTAACTTATGTAACCAACAAACTCTTCATTTATCCAATTTACTATCCGTTATCCTCCTATTCATTGTAAGGAAAAATTCATCACCTATAAATAGTGATGTCTTCCTTTGGATTGTGGACAAGAGATGGATATGAGAAAGAAGATAACATAATAAGTAACTTCTTTCCTTTTTTGACTCTAAGGTGATATACAAAGTGACTAATAAGTGAGTCTGATTTGATAAAATCAAGCAAAAAACATTGTAAGACAGATTCTAGTGTTGGACTGTTGGGGCAAGCTCACGTGCACCTGGACTAATTTCACGGGATTATTTCGAATTCTTAATAGTCTAGCAGCAAGATCAGATACAAAATCTTGTGATCACCATACCATGCCTATATGGTGTAATGGGTTTAAAGCTGTAAAAAGCCAGATAATTCCACAGAACCTACTAAACAAAACCCGATTGTCCTAAACCAAGAAACGAAATCCAACAAAGAGAAATTATGTTAATTTTGGGGCAGGATAAGGGAACCTGCTAAATCCAACAGAGGTTGTTACTCCATAACCGCGACTCCTCCAACAGCTTTGATCTTTTCTATGATTTCATTAGCCTCCTCTTTGGTTACTCCTTGTTTAAGTATAGCAGGAGCCTTTTCGACCAGTTCCTTGGCTTCCTTTAGACCTAGACTCGTGAAGGATCTAACCTCTTTGATCACCTTGATTTTTGAAGCTGCATCAAATTTCTCCAACTTGACGTCAAATGCTGTTTTCTCTACCTTCTTCTCCTCAGCCTTTGCCGGTCCACCACCTGCTCCTCCCATTGCACCCAAATCCATGCCTTCTACTGAAATTTGTTTCAAATTAGGGTGCCTTAGTATCTCCCTGAGTAAAGGACCAATTTGTCTACGCTCTTCTGGGGCTAAAGCAGCAATACGTTCAGCAAGCTGAACTATCTTGTCTGATGGTGGGGGTCTAGGACCATATGGATCATATGCAGCAGGATATTTGTACCTTATGGGCTTGGCATTAGGATCTCTGGGAACAAAATCAGGTTGAAATGAACGAGACTGCAAAGGCCCTATAATTTCACGTAGAGCTGTACAGGTTTGGATTGGTCTTAACCGTGCTATGAGCTTCATGCTTAAGATATCACTTTCCAAGCAATGAATTGCAAATGACGCTAGCTTGATCAGAATTTCATACACGTGTTGTGCTAATGCAGAAGAACTCAGATAATTTCCACTTCAACCACTTGGTAAAGCTTGTGCTTTACACTCCTGCCTTGAAAAGAAAATTCGACATTCAGCTGATATAATACAAACAAAAAAAACAGTCCAATCACCCTATTCATCAATAGACACAAACACATTAATTGCTCAGAAACTAAAACTTCCATTGGTTTAGTTTATGAACAGACACTAATAAAAGTTCCTAAAATTTACAAGTTGAAATGAAGCTTTACAGTGATATAACTAAAATCAGGGAGAATATATGACTTTAGATTGACACAATCATCAGTGTATTATAAACGCAACGCAACGCAACACACTAAAGATTGATAACAGGCCAGTTTTCATCTTCAATAATAACATAAAAAAGGCAAATGTGACATACAGATAACAACTACGGCAAAGAATGAACAAGACTGAAACTAAAGTGACAATAGAGAATGCATCTCATAAAAAAAATTCAAATTGAACTTTTTTACATCATTTTTACTAGGAAAACTAGTTGTTCATCTATCAAAGGAAACACAGAACTATCATTTGCTGTTCTTGCAGCAGACTGCAAAGACGAATACAATTAATTCCAGAAATTTACTAACTGCTAACACCTAAGGACAGCTCAACCATAAAGCAGTGGCTTTAGGCCCAAAAATTAACCAAATTCAGTTTCGAAAACATACCGAAGATGCAGAAAAAAGAAAAAAAATCCAGCAAGAAGCAAAGATTAAACGAAGAACCAAAAGCACAGCAGACAAAAGAGGAAGAGTTTTTCAATTAAGAAAAAAAAGAGTCGCGCTAACAGTTGAATAGGCCAAACTTATGATATTTTCCTTTGATTTTAAATTATCATTTCTATAGGTAGCCGAAGCACAGCTACATAAATATTCACACAGAGCTAAGAAAAATTGAACCTGAGGATTTTCAAGCAGCACATAGATCCAATTCAGAAGTCACATTTCACCAAATCAAAAAAAGAAGAAGTAGGGTTTATGGCTCATGAACACTAACGGAAGGAAATTCGTGAATGGAAGATATAAATGAAGAGACTTACGACTTTAAATCCTCCGGAGAAAGAGATCGCCGCCGTGAGAGATTCCGGCGAGTGCGGTGTCGACTGGCCGAAGAAGACGGGTGAAATTTGAAATTTAGGGCTGAGAGAAAAAAATAAGAATCGGTTTGGGCCCATAAATTGGGCATTGGACTCATTGCAGTCCTACATCGGCCCAATCCCACGAAAAAGTTACACTTTTGACCACTGGTTGATTTTTAATTTTTGTCCTTTCGAGTGACTAACACCTGTTTCTTGGGAATCGAACCCACGATATTGGCTTTGATATCATTTGTTAGGGTCAAGCGTTTACTATTATGACAATTTTGCCAAGTTTATTTTTAAACGAAGTTCACCAAGTAAGCGTCATGTTCGATCATAATTTCGACCTGAGCCACTCAATCCCTCGTGGATCGTGCCATAGGCAATATATTGACATTACCCAATAATAATTTCTTTAAGAAGAAGCATAACTTGTGTTATAATAATTTTAAAAAATTAAATACAACGTAAATAACAGGATAAAAATTGGCTATACGGTGCAATTTCTACTTGCTACATCAAAGTAGGAGATATGGGAATCATCATTAAATTTTAAATTTATGTTTAATTTTATTTTACTTAGACAATTCGAAGTGGTTGAAAAAGTAGTTGCTTGAAAATAGAATTTTAGTTTTTTTATAACTATATCAATGGGCGATCACGTAACACTTTCTTTATGACCTAAGTGTAGACAAGAAATTACACTTATGTCAAAACTTGTTCCGAACTTAATACTTTATCAATGGGACAATCGGGATCAAAAGTTCAAGTACATTAATTCCAAGGCCATTCTTGCAAATTACCCGTATAAATAGAATGAACTAGCCACTTTTCGCCTATGTCTTTAACAAATAGCCACTATTATGAAGTTCCATTTTTTATTAGTGACAAATGTTTGGTAGTTGGTACAACCAAAAAAATAGAAAAAAGGACAATTTTGGACAGATATTTGCTACATTGATTTTTTCTTTCTTTCTAATTTGTATATATTATGACTTCATGATGTATATTATCATAAATCACTTTCATAAATTATAGAAGTTCGAGAAAATTGAGAAATAGCAAATATAATAAATATATTAAGATTCTATAGGTATAATTTCGATAATTGCGCTGCATAGCTATAGTCTTGTTTGCTATGGAGAATGTGGTTGTATATTTCCGTCCGTTTATATATTTCGCTTGTCAATATACAAACAGGGTAATTTTTTATGAATTTTTCATAAATCATATACAAATAGCTAGGGTAAACATATATAAAATTCTGAATTTATACAATCAAGAACTGAATTGTACAAATTCTAAATTTATACAATTCAACCGAATTAAATAAGGCGAATAGCAAAATTGGGTGAAACTATACCTGTAAACTAGAATTTTCCTAAACAATAGCTATAACATTTAATATGGTTTAAATGTTTGGCACAACTTTCCCAATTTAGTTTGATGCCTTCTTCTTTTTTTTTTGGTCTATCAATAAAGGCAATTTGTATTTTCACTACACTTGACATCAAATTTTGAATGGGACAATGGGTGGTCCATAAGTCACAACTTGCATTGATTGGATTTATTGTTTGTTTATTTATTGCATTTTTCAAAGTCAACAATGGATGACTCACTTAATTATGGCTACAAATTTGGAATCTTGTATTATCCATCTAATTATTAAAAAAAAGTCTCAAATCTTGCCCTCGAAGAAGTGGTCTAGTAGTCAATGAAGTAGTGGATTGAGAAATGAGAACCATGAAGTTCAAGGTTTAAATTTAAGTGATTTCTTCGTGTGTGTCTAAGTATTGATAAATAGAGATACTCGATGTCTGTTCTGGTCGGAGATAACATCTACTAGACATGTGGACGCAAACTGACCAAGACATCACTTTTGTAAAAAGAAAGAGTCTCAAAATCTTGATATAAATTACTATATCCTATTGATGAATAAGAGAACAAGAGATATCAAGAAAATGGATACAAATGAATCAAAACATGATAGAAAAAGTGAGTTAAAAGCCTTTGATGACACAAAATCTGGTGTCAAAGGACTTGTTGATGCAGGAGTAAATAAAGTCCCTCAGATATTCATTTCACCTCCAGATACACACTCAAATTCCACCACAGGACAGTTCATATTTCCAGTCATAGACCTCCAAGACATTGATAGTCATGATCAAATCAATCGAAAAGAACTCATTGAGAAAGTCCGCGATGCATCAGAGACATGGGGTTTCTTCCAAGTGATCAATCATGGCGTTCCATGTGATGTTATGGCAGAAATGATTCGAGGTGTTTGTAGTTTTCATGAACAAGATAATGATATCAAGAAACAATGGTATACGCGAGAGTTTACTAAAAGAGTTGTTTACAATAGTAATTTTGATTTGTATAGTGCACCAGCAACTAATTGGAGGGATACTTTTTCCTGCATTATGGCTCCTAATCCTCCTAGTCCTGAAGAATGGCCTCCAATCTGTAGGTATGTCATTTATATGATACATGGTCTAAAAGGGGTTCGATTGAATCCTCTTCGTTGAAAAAGCATACCGATAAGTATGAAATTCGTTGAATCCCCTTGACAGAAGACCAGTAGCTAAGCTATGAATTCTGCTAAGGGTGTTCAAGATTTTGCATATGTATAATATAAAATGACTTATATGTGGATAGCATAATTTTGCGATTGAGGGTGTTTAACTGACCGCCCTTCCTACCACATAGCTACTCCGATCCCCTGCAGATATAAGTTGTGACACACTATCATTTCTTGAATCCCCGTGTTAGAATTCCTGATTCCGACACTGATACTGTTTTGTGTTTTCTTTATGATGTGGTAAAGGGATATCATTGTTAAATACTCTGAGGAAGTGAAGAAACTCGGGCGTTCTTTGTTTGAACTATTAGCAGAAGCACTTGGTCTCAATAGAAACTATCTCAATGACATGGATTGTGATAAAGGACTGTCAGTTGCATGTCACTATTATCCAGCTTGTCCAGAACCAGAACTTACCTTAGGTGCTAGTAAACATGCTGATGACGGATTCTTGACTTTGCTTCTTCAAGACCATATAGGGGGATTGCAAGTTCTTCATCGAAATCATTGGGTTGATGTCCCTCCTACCCCTGGTGCTCTTGTTGTAAATATCGCAGATCTTCTGCAGGTATGTCTTCTCACCAATCTGTATTGAAAATGAGTAGCTCGTTGGCTACACTTTGAGCCGGTGAATCCCTCTCAGGATTGTAGCATTGAGGGTCTTTTCATATTCATATGATGTGCATAGATGATTTAAGGTATATCGGAGCCTTGTCCCGACACCTATACAGTTCATGTCATATGTTAGAGGCTTCATAGACTAATGTACCGGTCATGTGTATACTTGAGTTACATTATACAGAATCAGTGGACTCATAGGGAGTCACTATTTCATAATATGCACTGATCTCTAATTTCACACACACACACATATGTTGTGTGATTATGTCGAAAGAAGTATGTTCAAATGAACCAACAGCAAGTCGTTAGGTCCATCACCGGGACAACTTGTCCAGTGCATGAAACATTCCATGTTTATGCGAAGTTCAGGGAAGGGCCACACCCCAAGAGGGTGTAATATAGGCAGCCTACCCTGACACAAACATCAGTGCGTCAAAACAACAGTACAATGATTAATTTGAGTTATTCTCTAATATTACTAGACTTGAAGGTTATTCATGCAGAGAAAACAAGTACTAATGTTGTTTGTCATGAAAATGTACAGTTAATATCAAATGACAAGTTTAAAAGCGTTGAACATCGCGTACTGGCAAATCGTGTTGGTCCTAGGATATCGATAGCATGCTTCTTCTCCACATTTTTCCTAGCATCGTCAAGACTTTATGGTCCTATTAAGGAGTTGTTATCAGAAGAAAATCCATCAAAATACAGAGAAACAACAATTCAGGAATATGCTGCCTATTTTACTGCAAAGGGACTTGATGGGACTTCTGCTCTACAACATTTTCGACTTTAAACTATCTTTTCATTTGTCTCTTCATGCTGCTTATTCAAAGTAAATAGATGTTATATTGTAACACATATTAGTATAGATAATCACTATTTATGCATTGTAATCTTCAAGTTATAAAGAATCTCATAAGTTACTTTCTTGGTTATTTTGAAATTCCTAGCTTGTTTCTCCTTTTATTTTCATTTTCTCCGACTCAACAATTCATTCATCAGCCTTCTGTTCAAAGTTGAAGCAAGATGATCTGACATGATTGTGTCTCAAGTGAATTCTAGGCATTACAACGATAACAACAACAATGACTACGACTCAATCCAAAGTAAGTTGAGTCGGCTATATAACTATGTCACTCAACCAAGACAGGTCAAAGTTTCTAGATTTTGAAGATATGCATGGTTGATATAGGAGTTTAGATTAGTACGAGTAATACCGATGGTGTGTTTCCTCTTCCTCCATTGCTTCATGGATCAGAACTTTGAAGTGGTTGTATTTGCCAGCTAATGCAGGATAAGATAATGAAATCATGACGTTGACGAATTTGTCTTGAAGCTGAACAAAAAAATAACTGGACTTTGCTAGACATCTCTTTCTTTGATTTCGACTAATACTTAGGTGATATGAAAATTAATTTGTATGAATCTTAACTTTCACAAAAGCTAAAATCTCTAAATAAATACTGATTGTTCCAAAAGAATAAGAAAAATGGAAGTGATCAACACAAATGAAGCAAAGTATGACAGAAAGGCTGAACTACAAGCCTTTGATGAGACGAAAGCTGGTGTTAAGGGACTAGTCGATGCAGGTATCACCAAAGTACCAAGAATTTTTGTTCAACCATCAACGATCGAAGATTCAACAATTCACAGCAACAAGAAGTTCAGTTTTCCAATAATTGATTTTGATGGCATCAAGGAAGATCTGATCAAACGAAAGAAGATAGTCCAGGAAGTCGGTCAAGCATCCGAGACTTGGGGATTCTTTCAAGTGATCAATCATGGGATTCCTAGTCATGTTATGGAGGAAATGAAAGACGGGGTTATCAGGTTCTTTGAGCAAGATACTGAGGTAAAGAAACAGTGGTATACGCGAGACTTCATCAAAGTGTTTCAATATAACAGCAATTTTGATCTGTTTGGAGCACCAGTAACCAATTGGAGGGACACTTTTACTGCCATCATAGCTCCTACACCTCCAAATCCTGAAATCTTACCTTCTGTCTGCAGGTATTAGTTGCATACCTCTCAATAATAGTCATCCTATATAACAACATTTCACTAGAACGGCCAAGTTATTTTAACCAATTTTTTATGTTATGTTATACTCCCTCTATCCCAATTTATGTGACACCGTTTGACTTAGCACAAAGTTTATGACATAAAAGAATTTTGAAGTTTGTGTCTAAAACACTCCTTCACCATTTGTGCGGTTATAAATCATTTCATTAAAAGGGTAAAATAGAAATTTTAAAGTTAAATTGTTTTTCAATTATAGAAAGGTGACATTCTTTTTGGGACGGACAAAAAGGGGGAAATGAGAAGAGATCTCTAGCAAGCTTTTTGAAATGAATAATCAGTATGGTATCTTTCTTGTTGTACTCAATTTTCTATACTAAAGCAATTCTGTTCAGGAATCAGAATCAACGGTAGATTATAATACCGTGTCTTGTGAGGAAGAAACACTGAAATTCAAAACAAAGACAGATCAAAGAATTAAGATCAGTACCAGTAATACCGATGATGCATGTACTCTTTCTCCATTTCCTTGTGAACCAGAACTTTAAACTGGTCTTCTTTTCCAGCTGGCGACGATGACAAATTTGTCTTGAAGCTGAATAAAAAATGTATCTTGACTTTGTTAAAACTGACAATTCTTAGTTGCATTATTTATTGATTTATCTCTTTCATTTTGACTAATTCTTAGTTGATGTGCAAATAAAGTTGTATATATCTTAACATTTACAAGATATTCAATACATATGAGACATATTTTACTTTAATTATCAGCTAAGAAAAAAATGGAGGTGATCAACACAAATGAAGTTCAGGTTCCAAGTGAAGCAAAGTATGACAGAAAGGCTGAACTACAAGCTTTTGATGAGACGAAAGCCGGTGTTAAGGGACTAGTCGATACAGGTATCACCAAAGTACCAAGAATGTTTGTTCAACCATCAAATATTGAAGATTCAAAAATTCACAGCAACAAGAAGTTCAGTTTTCCAATAATTGATTTTGATGGTATCAAGGAAGATCCGATCAAGCGAAAGAACATAGTCCAGGAAGTCAGTCAAGCATCCGAGACTTGGGGATTCTTTCAAGTGATCAATCATGGGATTCCTAGTCATGTTCTGGAGGAAATGAAAGACGGTGTTATCAGTTTCTTTGAACAAGATACTGAGGAGAAGAAACAGTGGTATACGCGAGATTTGACAAAAGTGTTTACATTTAACAGCAATTTTGACCTGTTTGGAGCACCAGTTACCAACTGGAGGGATACTTTTACTGCCACCACAGCTCCTATACCTCCAAAACCTGAAGAATTACCTTCTGTCTGCAGGTATCGTAAATTTTACTCTACAATCCTACCCTACTATAACAACATTTCACTATAACGGTGAAACTTATATTTCGAACAGATTTTTCATGTTATGTTATGTTATATTATATGTTCTCTGTAACAGTATTTTCAATAGCATCCATATTAAGACAAATGACATCGTTATAGAGAGGTTTGACTGTATTTGCTAATTGTGAATCTATGATAGGGATGTTCTCCTTGAGTACACAAACCAAGTGATAAAGTTAGGTGATACTCTATTTGGAATACTGTCTGAAGCTATTGGCCTCGAACCAAACCACCTCAAGGATATGGGTTGTGCCGAGGGTCTTATGGCATTAGGCCATTATTATCCAGAATGTCCACAACCTGAACTAACTCTAGGCACCAGTAAGCATGCTGACAATGACTTCCTCACCGTGCTTCTCCAAGACAACATAGGCGGTCTCCAAGTCCTACATCAGAACCATTGGGTAGATGTTCCCCCTACTCCCGGAGCTCTCGTGGTGAATATAGGAGATATTCTACAGGCAAGTAGTTTTGCATTTAAGCATACCTGTTTAGAAACATACATTTCTTATCACTTATGATACTTTTGACTCAATCATTTTCAGCTTATATCAAATGACAAGTTCAAAAGTGTTGATCATAGAGTACTGGCTAATAAGGTCGGTCCAAGGGTATCGTTGGCATGCTTCTTCATGACAAATTTTGTTCCAACACAAAGGTTGTATGGACCTATAAAGGAGCTGATATCAGAACACAATCCTCCAAAGTACAGGGAAACGACGATTAAGGAGTTCACAACTTATTTCAATAACAAAGGGCTGGATGGCACTTCCACTCTGTTGCATTTTAGACTTTAAACCAAATAGTTCAAGCAATTATTGGTTCAATTATAATAGGTAAGGTGTGTGTTGGAGTAGTTGTGGAAATGATAGATATTTTATCAAACAAAGATTTGTAAAACTATATATGTCAAACTATGTATGTTCATTATGTAACCATCAATAAGTTCTACTCATAGCAAGTAATTTTCATGATTATGATTTAGATGCACTTCTTGTTATGTTCATTACTCATAGGGAGATGAAGAGGGATTTACATACGGTTTTCATTGACATAGAAAAAGCTTATGCTAAAGTCCTTAGGGGGATCTTTGGAGGTGTTAGGAGGCTAAAGTTGTAGCTTACATTAGAGCAATTGAGGATATGTGTGATGAAGCCAAGACCGAGTAAGGACACTGGGAGAAGACTCGGATCATTTTCCATTCGTAATGGGTTGTCGCTGGGGATTAACTATTAACCTGTTTCTATTTGCTTTGGTGATAGATGTACTGGTGCGGCATATTCAATGAGAGGTGTCATGGTGTAAAGATAAAATAATGTTGATTGATGAGACACGCGACTGAGTTAACGATAGGTTGGAGATATAGAGACAAACCTTGTAGTCTAAAGGGTTTATAGGTTGGAGGTTTGGAGACAGACCCTGGAGTTTAAAGGGTTTATAGGTTGAGTAGGACTAAGACAAAATATTTGGAGTGTAAATTGAGTGATGTAACTCACGTGACAAATGTTGATGTAAGGATTGAAACCCAAGTCATTTCCAAGAAAGGACATTTCAAGTATATGTGGTCAATAATCCAAGGAAGTGGGAGATTGATGATGGCGTTACCAATCGTATTGGAGTGGTGAAATGGAAGTTGGCATCCAATCTCTTGTGTAATAAGAAGGTTCCACCTAGCCTTAAAGATAAGTTTTATATAGTGATGGTCAGACTATCTATGTAGTATGGGAGGAGTGTTGATTGACCGGTTAAAAACTCGGATGTCCAGAAGATGAGAGTAGCAGAAATAAGGATGTTGAGATAGATGTGTGGGCATACTAAGAGTGATGAGATCAAGAACGAAGCTATTGGGACAAGGTGAACGAACCCAACGCTATGTGAACTCACATACCTCTTTAGGGATCAACCCTTGGCGAAATCCGCAACAAAAATCTCAAGAACTTGACGAAATCTTGTCCTTTCTCCTCTTTTCTCTTCTTGAACCTTTTTCCAAAACCCTAGCGTAAATTTTGAGTGCGTAAACTGAACCAATTCAGTTTAGACCCCAAATAAATTACTAAAAATGAAATAACTTAATTGGGTAAGGAAAAGACCAAAATACCCCTCTTAAATCCGGGTAACTTTTCTTATCTAGACAGCCCGACTTCAAACGGGCATTTATCCTTCATACGAGCTCAAAAATTAGCAAACTTGGTGGTGTTGGAAAGAGGATTCCTAGACCTTTCATTTGATATCTTATAGGCCACCTAACTCATCACGTACTGAAAGTTATGGTCGTTTGAAGTTGACCCAAAACTCATACTTAGCATAACTTGCCAAAATTTTCAAATTTGCTCTTTCCAAAAATAGTTCTTTCTAATTCTAGTTCTTTCTAAGGCGGGATGTTACAATCTATAGCCAACAACGGGTAGTATGAACATGTGGTTATTCTGCCTTATCAGAAAAGTCACAACCCTTCGGAAATGTTACAATTCCTTAGGAAAGTCACAACCATTCAGAAAAGTCACAATCCTTCAATGTGAAAAGTTG